GACTGGAAATGGTGCTTCCAGTAGCGCTAGTGCTTAGGAGAGATTCTGGTGGCCCATGACCAGCCATTTCACATTCCCTCAGCATTTGGGGGTTGCATGTGTGTGGAGAGTGTAGGGAGCAGAGGAGGAGGGGGAATAGCTGGGGCGGGATCTGATTGACTCTGGTTTTGTTGGAAGGTTTAAATCCCTGGTTCGTGGGCCTGGCTTCTCACAGAACCACCTGGGGAGCTTTTAAAAAGCACTTAAGATTAGGGCCCACTCCCAAAGAAGCTAATTGATTTGGGGTGGGACGGGGCATCAGTATTTCCCAAAGCACTTCAGATGGTTTTTCCATGTTCATCCAAAGTTAAGCATGTTCAGAATGATTTTCTTCCCAACGAATCTCAGAAACATTGGAATGAACATCCAGTGATACTTGCCAAAGGTGTCATGAACTTGGGATGGACTTCTGATAGTAAGTTGCCATGCCACAGTTGGTGGATGCTCTTTTAGCTTGCAGACTACACTCGGTCCATCACAGGAAAGCGAGGCCTTATAACCAGAATATACAAGCATTCATTCATCAGCTTCATGGCACATCTCCTAGAGACACAAGACATTGTCCGAGTCTAACAAGTGTTTTTCAACAAAAGTTCCCATCATTCAACTTTGTATCAATTGCATTACCATGTTAAAAAAGTATCATTTTCATTTGTTTTACAGATGACAAATAATTACGCCACAAATTGTTTCAAGTCCTGAATGGCAGGTGTTAGAAAGGCTGAAGTGTTCCCTGAATCGTTGGACCTGAGTCGATAGCATCTATGAGAAGAAAATGCCCTTGTGGGCAACTGGAAAAGCTTCCATTAGTTTTTACTCTGACTTCAACTTTAGTTGCTTCCCTATAAACCTTGTAGTTGTGGGTATGGTATATGACTTCTCTGTGGCTCTTAGCAACAGATAATCTACAAATAGCCATGGGACAGGCTCTACTCCTCTCTCTCTCTCTCTCTCTCTCTCTCTCTCTCTCTCTCGGTGGTCAGGGTCCCCTTCCACTTCTGGGATGGCTCATTTTAAGCTCAGAGGGATGGCAAAATGGACCAATCCCCTGGTTAGCATTCCATTAACCTTATTTGCATGGTCCCATGACCACAAGGTGCCATATGCCTTATTTGAATTATTAGCAACCTACCCAAACCCCTCAGGGGCCCTGATGTTGTGCTCAATGGCTGTGAGTTTGGTTTGGATTCGTTTGCTGGGCAACAAGCACTCATTTGCAGTCCCACTCAGTCCTTTGGAGGAAGTTACAAAACTGTGGCTAAAAGGGCCATAATTGAGTACTAAGTAATTCACTGCACTGCAAACGGCAACTAATTGATTCTTCAATCTCACTGCCATTGAGTTTATTCCGACTCATAACAACCCTAGAGGACAGGGTAGCACTGCCCCTGTGGGTTTCCAAGGCTGTAACGCTCTACAGGAGTAGCAAGAGTCAGCTTTCTCCAGCACAGCAGCTGGTGGTTTCGAATTGCTGACCTTGCAAGTTATCAACCCGCTAGCTCGACTGTGTGACAAACACTCTTCAAGATAAAACAAAGTGACTTTCAAATAAGCCCTCAGATGTGAGCCACAGAGAAATCGATATCAAATTGGAGGTAGAGGATTTTAGTTGATAAGTTTTGGCTAAATGTATGACAGGTCTTGAAACAAACCAGGCTTCCTCCTCTAAGGAGTCCGCCTAGGTTGTGAAGCCGGGACGCACGCACGCACGCACGCACGCACGCACGCACGCACGCACGCACGCAGCCTACACTTGGCAGCAGCCCTTCCTGGGGCTGGTGGGGCCTGCTAGGATCCTCTGTGAGCGTCATCCCAGGGCAACCAATCGATGGAGTGATCCCCCTGAACTGTTCACCAAGTGTTTGCATATGTGTGGGCCATGGCTGAATGGTAATTAGCAACTGTGAGAATGCTAAAGTAGCAGCAGTCCAATTGCCACTTTAGTAGACCTCCCTAACAGCATTCAGCGAGGCAGCTAAGAGCCAGGTTGATCTCAGATAGGTGAATTGACCACCTCTGCCCTGCGGCTTGCAACTCCAGCCATCCAGCAGTCTTACAAATCAAGAGTACAGACCAGACCTGAAGGGTGCCCAGGTGAGAGTAGGGGGAGAGCTGGCAGTGGATGCACCCTCGAAGAAGAGTGGTCAGTAGCACTTTGTTTCCTGAGGTAAGCCCTGCATGGCTGTCTCAGCCCTGCGTGTAAGATGTACGTGCAGCTGACTCGCTGAGCGAAGCTCCTCAGGCAGCGGTTTGTCCTGGGCTTGACACACGTGGCTGTTCAGTGAACACCAGTCAATAGTACAGTCTCCAGCTGTGTGATTACTCATAAGCCAAGCCAGTGACAAGAGTGGAACTACTCAGTCTCAGCTGGGCAGAATCAAAGCGAGGATGAATCATGCCAAGGAAAACAAGCTACTTAATAGAGATTTGTTGATTGTGGCCAAGGGTGAAGTGCTCATTTTGGGAGCCCTGTGTTTCCTTTAGCAGCCCTGGTGGCATAG